TTTGTCTAACAATTCCTGGAGTTGAGTCGACATTTCTTGCATTTTTGGGGGTGCCAAACGGTATGGTGCCTTGGCCACCGGAGCAGCTCCAGGGGTCAAGTTGATACTGAACTCCACTTGTCTTTGCGGGGGCAGGCCTGGCAGATCTTTTGGGAAGACATCGGAAAATTCCCGAACTACAGGTAAATCCCCGATGTTATCCTCCCTGATTCTTCCATCTATTACGTGGGCCAAGTATGCAGGATAATTCCTCTTTAGGTACTTCCTCATCTTCATGTAGGATACCAGCTTAATCGCTTGGTCCAATTTATCTCCTTGGACCACTAAAGGCTCCACTCCTTCTTGAGGGATTCGAATAAGCTTATCTGAACAAATGATTTCGGCTTGGTTTCTGGACAGCCAGTCCATGCCTACAATTACCTCGAAACTTCCTAGTTTGATCGGTATAAGGTCTATGCTAAAGTCCTTATTGGCTAAATTTAGTGTGCAGTTCGGAATTATATCCCTGGTTTTGAATTTCTGGCCGTTGGCAAATTCTATGASAAGGGCTTCTTTCAACTTCTGAGGCTTTAAGTAAATTTTCTGCCTAAAACTTAGTGACACAAAACTTCTGTCGGCGCCCGAGTCAAATAGAACTGATGCGAATTCATTGTTTAGAGGAAACGTACCTAATACCACGTTGGGATCTTCTCTAGCTTCTCTGGCCCCCAATTCGAAAGCTCGGCCCCTAGCCTGACTTCCCAAGTTGATTGTACTGTTCTGCCGAGTCTGTTTCATATTTTTCTCTATTCTTCTTTTTGGGCAAGCGTTCCTCATGTGATCCGGGCTCCCACATTCATAACATAGACGTTTCCGGCAGTCCTTCGCTGTGTGACCCTCAAGATGACATCTCTGACAATTAATGCAATTTTCTCGATGCGAGAATTTGCACTTATCGCATCTGATTACATCGCCTTGCTCAACTACCTGCGATTGAGCTCCAAAGCTTCTTGTTGTTCTTCTGTTCCTGTCCGACTTCCTCCCAAACTTTCGGTCTTCATGGTCTTCCATCTTCTTTTTTCCCTTAGCCAATCCTCCAGATCGTACCGCATTCTTTGTGAGTTTCGTGGCAATTTCCACCGCTCCTTGAAAAGTCTTTGGGTTGGCAGAGGTTATGTTGACTCTAATTTCTGGGGACAACCCCCAAATATACCTTTCTATTCGTACCTCCTCTGGTGTCACTAAGTGCGGCACCAGGTTTGTCAACTCTTGGAACCTCGTTGTATAGGCAGAAATATCGCTTCCCTTCATCTCAAGGTTCCACAACTCCATCTCCAACTTTTGGAGTTCACTTCTTAGACAGTATTCTTCCTTAAGCAATTTTTTAAACTCCTCCCATGAGAGCTGATTGGCTGCTTCTCGGCCTCTTGTTTGCACCAAGGTGTTCCACCAYGTGAGYGCCCTTCCTTGTAAAAGACACGCCGCATATTTTACTTTATTCCCTTCAGCGCAATCGCTGATGTTCAAAGCGGATTCCATACTCTCGAGCCACGTCAATA